GATCGGCTGTGCCTGGTTTTCCCCACAGGGCCTGAGCTGGCGGTGGCTTACTTGGCCCGGCTCCCGAGCGCAGGGCGTGGGGGCTTGAATGTTGGACACTTGCGCAACAGTTTTGGTGGCTGCTCTTTTGGGGCGTCGGAGCCAAGGAACCGCTGTGGTGTAGGATCACTTTTGTTGCAGGGGAGAGGGGGAGAGGCATGATGCAGCCTAATACAAGCTGTTCGGAAACTACTTCAATGGCATAACGTTTGCAGCAGACAGATCTTACAGATGTCGGCAAGCAGACCAACTGAACGATGGTATGTATGGGGCAAGACATTTTGGCTTGCTACATTTGCCGGCTGCATACAAAAGACCGGATTTCTGATTGCATGCCATGCACTGTTGCATTCTTTGAGAATAAGATCGGCAAGCATTGCTATTCCAATTGCATCAATCTTTATTCGAGCACCTGTCCTGCCTCCAAATTCTGAAGCTCTTGTTATATTCAGGATTCCTGCTGGTGTTGGCTGGTGTCACCGTGTCAACGTCTGGAACCAATCCATGCGTTGAACCAAAGATGCGGCGGCTGGGCGTTCTCTTGGTTCACACACCACTGTCAAGAGGCTTCAAATCTGGACAAATCAGGCAGAGCTCAGCTGAGTCACTATCAAAACCCGGGTAAGTGACTGGTTGCAAGGGATAGTCCCCGCCCTGAATAAGTGCGGTCGCCCTTTACATGATTTTGGGTAGACCTCCCAATTTCTGGTCTTTGCAAGGTTACTAGAGTGCAAGGGCATACGGTTCCGATCCCTGGACTTTACGCGGACCTCACAAAGGAGGGGCCCTCGTCTTTGGGGATTTGTTTTTCGTTTTTTCCTCAGCCTTCCTTTCTCCAGCACCCCTAAAGTGTGTTGAAGGGCCTTTCGGTGTCATCTTGCGGCGCCTGTCAAGGTCGCAGGGGAGGGGGGGGGGTTTTGGGTGTGTGTTTGTTGCCCCTTTTGTGAGGTCCTATTTTGATCCTGCTTTGGACACATGGGATCTTTTTTCGAGGGTACCTTAGGACACGCTCAAAAAAAACAACCATGAGGCTCCCCTTACAGACCCACCCCATGTCCTCCATTGCAGGCCTTCGCAGTGCGCTGCACCGTGGCGCCGCTGAACCTCTTCCTGCGGGTGCGGGCGCCAGGGGACCGCAGGTTTGAGCCCTTGTTTCCATTTACCAGGGTGCCGTTTTGGGCACTTTTTTTGACCCACAGCCATACATTTGGGGGTGAACACATAAGCCAGAGGATCCCAAAAAGCAACTGAACTAAATGCGCTCAAAAAAAGCAAGGATCCCTTTTCAGTGGTTTAAACAGCTCCAAAAAGCAGCCGAACTATCTTGAACTCGGTTGCTGCTTGATTTTCAAACACTTCCAGGAACTTTCCCGCATATTTTTTTCGCGAGCTCATGTGGCAAAGCGAGCTAGGCCACGAAGGTTGGTGGGGGTTACTGGTGGGCTACTGGCTGCTGCCGTGCTCCGGGCGAGGGAGGGTGGGGGAAGCTTACAGCAATGCGCTGGCGGAAAGAGAGGTCCAGGACTAAGGGACCCCAAGGTTCTGGGCTGAAGGATTCGGATGTTTCTTTTTGTATTTTCGTTGTTCCCACTGACGCATGGGCGGAACATACTCCCCAAATACAAACATGGCCAGTCACCTTCATTTTGCCTGGCAACTGCAGGACTTTCACCCCCGAAACTCGGCGGGGCTGGGCACGTGCTGCGATGGGCTCACCTCCGTTGCTCTTGCTTGCCAAATGATAAGAAGCCGCGTTCAAGCGCATCCTCTCAGCGCCACGTCCGTCGAGATGCAGCAATGAATGGGGCCTGGCGTCTTTGCACCACACGCATGTGAAAACTTTCGAGTCTGAAATACGATCTCAGAAGCCCTGGCCTTCTGCCGATTTTAAAAGCATTGGGCACGTGCAGACGAGCTAGCGTGGGCCACAGCGATTTTTCGCATATATCACTTGCAACTCTCCAACTGGCAGATTTGTTTCCAGCTTCAAGGAATTTGTTTTGAAACTTGAAAATGTGACATGCATCGTTTGCCAAAAACCCTAGGGCCAATCGTTCTCACTGACGCAGAGACAAGGCACGGGCATCAGCACGTGAAGCCAGCATGGAGGAGCCTGAGGGAGGCAATGATCAACATGGCAACGAAGAGAGCGCCTTGTGGACAGAGCAATAGACTACCCATTCTCTTTTGACACGTGCACGAACGTCACCTCGGCTCGGCGGTTTGTTGGTGGCATTACAGCTTGCCTGTTACGCGTTTGCATGTTTGGGTGAGGCTGGCTTGAGCAGTGCGACTGACAATGCTGATGAACGTTTGCCCACGCTCGGAAGGAATAGGTGTTCCAAGATAGCATTTGTGCTTAGAAAGCAACACTGAAGCTGCTTTTTCAGTTACTCCAGCGAGGAGAGTTTGATCATAGTTTTGAACCTGTACCTTGTTGATGCTTTGACTGGTGTTGCTGCCGCCGCTTCTGCTGCATGTTTCTGTGCAAAGGGTAAATGTGCTGAGTTGAGCCAGCATGACTTGGTGCGCCGTGACCGGATCTACAAGCTTTAGCGTTTCGCCGTTGTCGGCCCACCTGAAACCAAACCATCTAAACCTGGAGCAATGGTTTCTCTTTGGCCAGTCGCGCTTCACCTACCCACAGAAAGGCAACTGCGCCACCTACTCTTGTCCGGCATCAGAGCTTGTGCCACTCGGGAGGCAGATGAACTGGACTTCGAGTACGATGACCTGCCCTGCAAGGCTGGCTTGGAACGGGTAGGAATAGGACTGCTGGACCTTTGGCTGAAGAATCGTGCCCTGGCCGCCTTTAAAGGGGGAACCAAACGGAGGATGTTTGAACCATAGGTGCTCATACACACATACAGATACACGTTGAAGCAACAGGTGTTGGCACCAAGAGGTTGGCCCGACCCCTCTCTATTTGGAGGCCAGCCTTCGGCACGAGGCCAGAACTTCCTGAAGTCCGCAAAGGAAAATTCAAGGGAGGCCAGCCGAGGCGAGTCAACGAGACGTCAAGGACAGCAAAAGCACAATGGAAGAGTTCCGGCTTCCCTTCCTTGCATCTCAGGACTTCCACTGTGTGTGTGGTTGTGCTTTAAATGGGACCCCTGCCCCTTTGGAGGGTCCACCGTTTTAGGGCAAACCCAGACGGGTGGTCATGCTTTGATTTGATCCGTTCGGCTTTGCGCAGCTGTCGCCGGCTCGCCTTCGAAGGAAGCCCAGCCGGTGACTTTGCTTGGCCAGTTTGAATGAGATACACTCGTTTTAAATGGCCGACATTCATCTCCATGTGGAGAATTTGGAGGGGGATTCACGTCTCCAACCACTTTTGAGGGGGATCCCTATTAAATTCATGGCTATGTTAATGCTGCCCACCAAGCGCTCCCCCAAATTAGAAATTATACCCAACTTGGCATGACACCCAGACTTAGGCAGGGGGCGTGTTGAAATTGCGTCGCTGCTGGCACACCCTGACAATCCCTCCAGGAATCTGACAATCAGCGGCCAGTCGGCCAGTCGCTCTGGGTTGGAGAAAGGAAAGTCATTCTTCCCCAACCTTCCAACCAGCTTTCTTCATTAGTCATGCCTTTCAACCACCTTATGTGCAAAGGTACCCTTGAAACAACACTTGGCAGCTTCCTTCAGTTGCCCTCGTGTGCGCCATGGCACTGTGGCGTTTGGCCGCTTGCCTTCAAGCTGCGCTGGCGTGGCAAAGCCTCGAGGCGCGGTCCACGCGAAAGGCCCAGCCTGGCGTTCGCCCATTTGTTGCGACGTTTGCTTCCTCCCCGCTGTGCAGATGATGACGTAAAAGCGTTCGCAAATGAAGCCCCGAAGCACAACATTTTGGGCTTACAGTGCAGGGGGTAGCTGTGCATGTCCCACACAAGTGCAGGGCAAAGGGTAAGCAGGTGGTTTTCTTGCAGGTGTATGCTGTGCCATGGTTCAGCGGGAATGCTTTCTGTCAACTTCGGTTCACTCCGGCAACTCGAGTCCCAGATCTGAACCCTCTCTCTGGAAGGGAAGCTGGAATGCTTCTCGCACTTTCGTTTTTTACTGGTTCCCCTATCCACTTGCGTGATTGGAAATGGTGGGTTTGTATCCTTTGGCAGATGCGCAACTAGATTCAAATCCAGGCCGCAAGTGACCGACCAACTCTGACCCAGACACAAGCCTACCACAAACACAAAGAGACGAAGCAGCCTATGACACATGGCCCGGGTTCCGGGCTTGCGATGCTTCTTAGGAGCTGCTTGTAGTCGTAGTTCTAATCATTTTCAAGTTTGGGACCGTCTAAAAGGACACCTAGTCTCATGAATGAGACCTCAATATAGGGGGGCCAAGTATTTGTGTCAAACTCGTCTCTTCGGGTTCATGGCCGAATTTGGTTTCTGTTTCTCCCCCCGCCCGAGTCGAAGGCCTTCGACTTCGTCAGGATCTGAGAACCGACGCCCGGGACGACTGGGAGGAGGTCTCCCACGCTGTGCCCACGGAGGGCCATGAGCTGGATGTGATCTTCGCAGCCCCTCGGCTTGCTGGAGCAGCCAGGGCCCCGTTTGGGTTCGTCACCAAAATGTTGGGAAAACCCCGGAAATGGAGGCTTCCCTTTTTGGCCTGCCTCCGAAAAAGTGGCCTGTTTTAAAGGAAACATACACATCCAGTAGTTTCGTGAGGTCTCAAATCGAAGAGTGCCATCCCATGGCCATCTCCAAGCTTCTGAGGTGACTGGGGTCCCTGAAGGCATGTAGGACCTAATGGCACCATGGCGTCAAGGTGAGGGCGCTGGGGAGCGGATTCCCTGTGACCCTCGGGTGTTTCCTGTTTGCAGGTGAAGCACTCCTCGGCTGCGGCGCTGGACGCCGCCCTGGCGAAGGTGGCGGAGCCCAAGAGCCCGGGCTATGGCCGCTACTGGGCCCTGGACGAGCCACGGAAAGCATCGAGCGAGGGGTGCCGAAGACGTGCAACCGAAACCGAAACCGAAACCGGCTCGGGTGGATGAGGGTCAATGAAAACCCAGGATGAATCAACCCCAGTGCATTCATTGAGGGTGCGTGTCCTTTTTTAAGAGATTCATCACTTTTGGAGGGGAAGAGCGGATATTAATAAACAGGGGTTTAGGAGTCCGGGGTCAACACTGGTAAGCGAGAATCGCCTTGTCATACTCGAATGGGGCGGTTTATCGTTAGGTGTCCAACTAAAAGAACTCACAACCCTCAAAAAAGAAGCACCGGTGATGTGGCATATTTCCGTTTGCACGTCTTGACCTCTCATGCCATGGAATGGAACTCTGGCAGTTCTTGGACATGCCTGGACCATTTTCGTCTGAAAAGGACACCCAGTCAAGTTCCATGTGGTTGACAGGGACGTCTATGCAACATGATGGCTCCTTCTTCTGCCGGGTGGCACGCTCAAGGCCCTAGTCAGAACGGCCCTCTCTGCGAACACCCCGAGAAACATCACACACACATACATCAGACCTGCAAACATGAAAGTGAAAGGGGTTCCAAGAACGGGCAACGCAAAAGGCTTGGCAAAACCGTTGGCACGTCTTCAGCATTAATGTAGAAGCTCAAAGCTTTTTTGTTTTGTTTTGTTTTGTTTTCCTGCTTTGTTCTCCTTTTTCTCTTTTTCTGATTCCACAACCCCCAAGGACGGTTTCGCGCAGCTGTTGGGCGCGCGGGATCGGCACCGCGCGCTCTTGGCCGCGCTCCAGTGGCCTCGCCTAGAAGCCACGAAGGCGGGGAAGGGTCCGAAAGGCTTGGTTTACATATCAATTTATTGCGAAAACAGAGCTCAGCAATACTGTGCATGGACGAAATCCTGCACCCAAGAAACCCTAGAATGATGATTCCACTGTAAATACCAACAAACAATGGTTTCTCATGGTTTGAACGTGGTGCAGGATTTTGTCCATCCACAGTATGGATATTGTTGTCATGTGTAGAAGTCTAGAGATAGTAGAGTTGTTTTGTTGTTCAGTGGATCAGCACACTATATATGCCGCATATAATATGTATAGTTATTTAAATTCATGAATTCAGTCATATGGCTTTGTCTCAAAATGAAGGAATGCCACGAAGGCTGTTGCCCCAAAAAACGTAGGCCTCAAAAAATGAGACACCCGAACAATCAAGAACCTGATTCACACCCAACGGGCTTCTCAATTGGGTGCGAAACGGATGGATGTCGCATCCACGGCAGTTGATTGAAAAGAAGAAGCGCTTTGCCGGGGCAGGCCGGCGACTTCCTGCGGGGCCGCCTCGGCGTGGCCGAGCTCCTGGCCGCCGGCGTCGGGCTGAGGCCCTGGCGCCACAAGGCGGGGGAGTGGCTCGGATTTTTTTATTTTATTTTATTTTTTTTCGCGCGGCTTGCGACCCAAGTGTTTTGGGGGGCCGACTTGGTGGGTTGGTGATTGGGTTTCCCATTTACACCCAGTTGAAGCTGTTCAAAGCCAAGCAAGGATGCAGAGCAAGGATTGGCTTTGGCCAGCCACCTGCAACATGTGTCTTAGGAATATGGTTTTGCTAGGTTGTTGGACACAGAATTCAGGATTGATTTTCACTCAGCTTTTTGCCCTCGGATCGTGGAGGTTGAGCAAACGAGGTCAAAGGACATTTTCTTGGTGTTGCGCGAGGGTTCCTAAAGAGGGAACTTTGGACCGTGGCCAATGGCCAATGGAAGGAGTGATTCAAGCAAAATTTCAGGTTGCCACGGAAATTTGACAACCCCGCCCTATTAAGCTTATGGATCATTGGTTCGCTTTTCATGAGTTCAGGGTTGTTCGTTTTAGACTACATGTTTGAACGAAGTCGAGCAAACCAAGTCCATTTCTTTCCGTCCCGCTCCGTTGTTTTCTTCAGGTTCCGTTTTTTCGCTCTTTGTTTTGCACGATGAATTTTCACTGCCGTTCCAGTCCGACGTTGATTTACAGAGGCTAGTAAGCATGTTGTAACCATACGGCAAAGTAGTGCCCACCATTTGCCATGGTCAATCTACATAATTGCTAGCCACTGCTAGTCGGGTGGACCTCCAGGCAGGAGTCAACGGCTTTATACATGCCGTTTGGCTCCTTTTGGTTGCAAGCTGGCTTGCATTTGATGTCCTTGTGGTTGCCATCAGGATCAACAATTACTTGGATGTCGGTCCCTTTTTGCTGTCCTCACGGATCCATCTCAGAATTGGATTCAAGTTTCACATATGACACTTGCTTTCTGGTGTGTACCCGCATGCGGGCAGCCAACCATATTTGTAGTGCATGATTGACTTGGCAGGGACATGCAAGGACAATCCAGCTCGGTCAGACCGAGCTCAGGCATCGTATGGAAGTCCAACGCTCATTTCTAGAAAAAATCCCTGTTGGGGGGGGGGACAACTCTTGGGGTTACATGTTTCTTTGGGCCTCCTTCCCTTGAATTGTCAATGTATCAACACCTTGGTGGGAGTGTAGTAGTTTCAGTGCCAGCCAACATGCGTGGTCGCCGTTTTGGTCTCTGTACAAGTTTCTGGGTCGGCCTCTTTTAACGCCGGGTCTTGACTGAAGTTACATGTCGGTCAGATTAGCTTTATGCAGTCGGTTACCATGAGGCTGAAGCACCCCCCAAAAAGACGTACCCCCAGAAAAAGGACAGACCCTGAAAGGGTACCCCTCCCAAAAGAGAGAGAAAAACACAGAAGAACACGACAGATGTGAAGGGACATTGCGGTGCGTGCATCATGAATCCCTGTTTGTGCATTCGGAAAGG